GGGAAGACCCTCTATGAGATGGATTCGGTGACTGGGGTAATCGGGATGCGTGTGTCAGGGGCGGTGCGGTTGGCGCAGGATAGGGCAGGGATTAGGGCTGTTGTGCATAGGGTCGCTATGAGTCGGAAACAACTCGACGGCACATAACAACAACAACAACCATCAAATCATATCTGACTGGTACAGGAGGAGATTGCCCCTCCTTCTCCAGCAGAGCGTCTGGTGCATTCGAACTGTATACCTCTGGGATTGCAGTGCAGGTTCTTGCCACTAGACCACCAGAGCTCTCTTCGCATCTAGGTCTTTAAACTGACATCCGTGCTCTTTAGTACTTTGGAGAGGTCCTTGACCACAGACATTTCCCAATAGTACACATCTTTTGATCTCCTCACCGCTGCTACCATGAGCATTGATTGTGGATCCAAGTACAACGAAATTGTTGATAATTTCAAACTTTTCTCCAAGTATCATGATGATACCACTGGCTCAGTGGTGAGGATTTTTGTTCTCTTAATGTTAAAATGTAGCCCATATTGATCTTTGATCTGCAGTGAATGCTTCAGTTGCTGTAAGCAAAGTTTCGTCTGCTACGTACTGCAGGTTGTTGATGAATCTTCCTCCAATCCTGATGCGGCATTCTAGAGTGCAGCTCCTTGAATTACTTGGCCAGCATGCACCTCGAATTGGCAGGGTGTATTATTCCAATATGTATGTTGTTGTTGTTGCTGTTGTCAACAAGTCAAGCATGACTCATGACAACCCATGAACAACAGCTCTGAGCTATATCCCATCCTGTGATGTCCCACCCTCCTAATTTCTGACATCTAATGAGCCTACTACTGTAGTCACCATGTCCAGTTTTACAGGGACACAGTTTAATCAGTAACACGCAGGTTTCTGTAGAGGTTAACGTCACATGAAGGAATGAAGTATGTCCCCCACGCCCAGCAATAATTTATAAAATTCATTTTCTTCAAGAACACACCTTATAACATCCTTCCTGGAATCTGGGAGCTTCAGAGCAGAGTCGAATCCCATGGTCTGTGATCATCCAAGGATTGTTGCCCCACAAGGGACAACAGCAGGTCCATCGAGTGGACTTAAGCAAATGTAATGGCTCTTACTGAGCTCAGCTGCCACCTCTCTTGTCCCCGTTTGTCACAGGGAAACTGTGGCCTCAATTCTGATAAAACCACATACAACCAGCTTGTTTGAGTTTTCCATATGCTCAGAAAGATGCCAGGTGATTATAGATTCTCCAAGATGATTTTCCCAGTATGCTTTGGGCTCTTTGGGCACAAGACCGACAGGACTGCTCATCACTGTGGAAAATTCCAGAAGCAGATGTCTTAGTTCTCTGGTGCTGCTATAATAGGGATACCGCAAGTGGATGCCTTTAACAAAAGAAATGTATTCTCTGGCCATTTAGGAGGTTAGATGTCAAAATTCAGGGCACGGGCTCCAGGGGAAGGATGGAGAGATGAGAGATAGATAGATAGATAGATATAGATAGATAGATAGATAGATAGATAGATAGATAGATAGTTCATTCAAAAACAACTCGATGGGGAACTACAGAAGTTCAAGCAGGATTTAGAAGAGGCCATGGCACCAGGGATATCACTGCTGATGTCAGGTGGATCCTGGCTCAAAGTAAAGAATACCGGAAGAATGTCTATTTATGCTTTATTGACTATGCAAAGGCATTTGACTGTGTGGATTTGAACGAGTTGTGGCTGCCATTGAGAAGAATGGGAATCATAAAGCAGTTAATTGTGCTCATGTAAAACCTATGCCTAAGGGAGCTCTGGTGGCCTAGTTGCAAGAAGCTACACTGCAATCCCAGAGGTGGT